TGAAGATTTTTGCATCTATATTCATGAGGGATATTGGTCTGTAGTTTTCCTTTTGGGTGATGTCTTTTCCTGGTTTTGGTATTAAGGTTATGCTCACTGTTGCACAGTTTTAGTGATTTCCACTTGATGTGCCATTTGCTGTTGGTTCCTGTCCCAGCTTCATCATCTGGAAGGCTCCTTCAGAATGCAGGCTCTCAGGCCTTACTTACTGAATCAGAAGCTGCCTTTGAACAAGATTCTCCGGGTGATTCGTATACATCTTAAAATTTGAGGAACTCTGATCTACATGATTTCTTTCAATTATGATCTTACTCAAGAACTTAGTAAGAATAGCTGTGGCTGCTGAATTCTTATCAAGTGTTTTGTAGCATCCACCCATCCACCAAGGAGCTCTGGTAGTGCAGTGCCTAAGGCATCTGAGTGCTAACTAGAAGGTTGGTGGTTCAAGCCCACTAACCACACCATGGAAAGAAGACTGGGCAATCTATTTTCATAAAGATGTACCACCTTGGAAACCCAATGGGAGTCACTATAAGTCAGAACTGACTTGATGGCAGTGAATTTGTTTTTGTAGCTGGCAAGCATTGTAGTGTTCACTTCCTTAATTCTGAACCAGCTCTGATCCTGGAACATGAATCAACCTCACAATCTTCAAGCACTGTTGCTCATCACTTCCTCATTCCTGTCTCTCCAGCGTCTCTGGGCAGCTTGAGGGTTGGCGCAGGATGCTTGGGTTTCCGGTTCCAGGGCTCCGAGCAGTGTGTGGTGGGTGCTCAGACACTTGATCGAACTTGAGCTGTCAATCTTTTATAGCTCTGCCAAGCCCCCTTCCCTTCTCCCTAAGTGTTGTTGTTGTTGTTGTTTGCCGTCGAGTCGGCCCCGACTCATAGCAACCCCTCCTTGGGTTTCCGAGGCAGTATCACTACGGAAGTAGGATTGCCCAACCTTCCTTCCGAGGAGTGGCTGGTGGGTTTGAACCGCCAGCCTTCTGGTGAGCAGTCAAGTGCCTTAGGCACTATGCTACCAGAGCTCCTTCTCCCTTCCGAGGAGTGGCTGGTGGGTTTGAACCGCCAGCCTTCTGGTGAGCAGTCAAGTGCCTTAGGCACTATGCTACCAGAGCTCCTTCTCCCTAAGTAGATGGTTTTTAATCTTGATGAGGGTGGTGACTTACTTAATGCGACTCTTCTAGCCATGGTCCTTGTGACTCCCACCAGATGACTGGGTGGGACTATGCAAATGTAAGTGCTTGTGGTTCTGCATGTTAGTAATGTAAAGAAGGTACATGGCAGCCTTGTGTGGATCTAAAAAAAAAATCAAACTCACTGTCATCAAGTCGATTCCAACTCCTACTAAGCCCTCTTTGAATTTCCGAGGTGGTAAATCTTCACAGAAGTAGATTGCCTAGTCTTCCTTCCACAGAGTGCTAGTGGGTTTGAACTGCTAACCTCCTGGTTAGTAATAAGTGCCTTAGGCACTACACTACCAGATCTCCTTCTTTGTGTGGATGGGGGATAGAACCATGCAAATAAGGTGTATGGAACCTTAATGTGGGGATTGGTCAGTTTTCCCATTCTGCTAGGCTTAAAATAAGCCATCCCAGAGGTGGGTAAGGGGGACTTCACTACCATCAAGAAAGAAGAGCCAGGAGTGGCATGTGTCCTTGAACCCAAGAACCCTATGCTGAGACGGAAGCAGTAATAGAGAAACTGTGACCCCAGACCCTGGCAGCAGACCCCAGCACAAAACAGAGCAGTGGGCTTCCCAGCCCATGGAGCAAGAAAGCTGAGTGCCTTCAGGGAGGGGGTTGGCTGGCAGAGTGGAGTACCTCTTTGGGCCCCTACTGGCAAAGCTAAAAGAGCTCTGTAACACTTGCCTGAGCAGGGCAGAGGCCAAGGTGCCGCAGGGCCGAGAGGCGGAGGTCAGAGAGAAGTGTGCCTGTGGCGTGGCTGAGAAGAGGCTATATCCTGAGTTACTCCTGATCCTGAATTGTAACCTGTTACTTGCATAATAAATCCCATAATAGTGAGTATTGTGTGCCAGTTCCGTGGGGCCACTGCAGCAGATCATTGAACCCAGCAGAGAAGTAGAGAATGGCGTGGGAGGGATGATTGGTGTCAGAATTGATAAAAAGGTTGGAGGGTGGCAGCATGTCTGATCTCCACCTCATAGGAACCAGCCTTGGGCTGATGCTCCTGATGGTGATTCTCTTCCCCCCTTGTGAAGTTAGCAGAGGTCAGAAGATGCCACCCCTATGCCCTTTCTGCAGTGCGTTATCTACTGAAAGCTCTGGCCCACTCCCCAGGAAAATGCCCATTAACCATCCCTCTCTGCTGGTTGGGAAGTTCCAGGCTATCCAAGAGCCCAGAGTAGGACCCTTAATCCACTCTCCTATCACCTTTGAACACCACGGGCTATCTTGATGGGTCCACCCTGCAACTCCAGGGGGGCATGCTGTGGTATTGCCCCATTTTACAGATGGGGAAAACCCAATTGCTTCAAGAAATGAGAAAGTCTTTGAAATGGCCAGAGACTGGACAAGCCAAGAAAGTTGCTGGCCAATAACAGTTTCAGCATGCAGAGTTTCACCATGACCACAGTCCCCAGGTATCCACTCCTCCTCTCTCTCTGCTGATGGTTTTGAGTCTTGTGAAAATGGAAGGCCGTTCTCAAGACTACAGCTGATTGGTTCAGTGTTCTGGCACCTGATGAAAGGGCACCAATCTACAGCCCTATTGGCTGGCCAGCAGCCTCGGGGGTGACCTGGAGTGAGAGTGCTCCCCAAGTCAGGGTGACTCTTTCCAAATGGGAACTCAGCTGACCCTCCATCTTTAGGCAATAAAGTTAAGGATTTAGGAATTGAGCAGAGATATCAGATGGGGCAGGGCAGAAGCGGAAAGACCTGCAGAGAGGGATAATAAGCAGAAGCCAGGAGGCAATGAGGAGGGAAGGCAGGTTTCTGTACAAGCAGCCCCAGAAGAAGTGGGTCCAGGTATAAGAGGTATTACATCTTGGTAGAGCTACAAGTGTGAGCAACCAGCAGTCCAGGCTGAGGACTACATCCCAACGACAGCTCAGAGAGGGGCAGGGACAGAACCCTGGAGGGCCAGTGTGGGTAGATGGTGCCACCAGCCTGAAAGTGAGCCACGAAGTAGTAATGTCCCAGAAGCAACCACATGAAGCTCTCTCTGCATGGGTGTCACTTATGTTTATTGACCAGATACAGAGCTTTGATTTCAGCATGAAAGACCCTGTGCTAAAGGGGCAAGCAGGCCACATCTTCTGGCCTCCTCTAACCGCACAAAAGGAAGACAGAATCACCATCAGTAGCCCAAGGCCTATTCCTGCAAGGCCAGATATGCTGCCTCCCTCCAGCCCTTTCACCAACCCTTACACCAACCGATCCTCCCGCAGCACTGACCACCTTTCTGCTAGGTTCAGTAATTCACTGCAATGGCCACACAGAACCCACAGATTATGGGGTTTATTAGGGAAGTACCAGGTTACAATTCAAGTTCAGGAAAAACTCTCAGTCTCTCTCAGCCAACTGTCTCTCATGGTCTCTCTCCCAGCAATGTGAGTCCCTCGGTGTGTCTCTCAGCAATGTGTGTCTCTTGCGTCTCTTTCAGGAGCACGTGTCTCTCAGAGCTTCTTTCTCTTGGGAGCGCATTTCTCTCAGCAGCAAGTCCTCCTCAGCCAGCAGTCAGAGAGAACTCTGCCTGGCAGAGTGGCCAAACTAGCCAATCATAACATCAGAATTCTAAGCACCTGAGAGAGAGCAATCCTCCCAGAACATGGCTTTGTGCCATTCCCAACAGAAATACCCCAGGTGGATAACTTTTACAATCAGGAGCTCCTCAGTTGCTCACAGCAAATTTCACCATGGAGTTTACAAAGACTTATGGCTAGAAAAGCTATACCAGGTAATTTACTACACTGCACCCTGCCTCCTGGGATGGGGCAGGGGTGAAGGACCAACCAGCCAAGAGCTACCAGGGAGAGAGGAGGATGCAGTGGTGGCAGAAAGCCCTGGACAGGAAGAAAGGGCTACTCAGCTCTCCCACAGGGAAAAATAAATACTGACATCTCTGCCCAGAGCCATCTACCAAGCTAGAATGGGGGGCGGGGGGAGAGTTTGCAATGCCCTTCCTAAATGGCTCTGCACACACTCTGGTCCCGCTGACAGTCCCCCAGAGGCAAAGGTGAAAGCAGGGCAATGGACCTTTTAGGACAGACCTTGGGAGAAGGCATCTAGGAAACAGGGCTCTCCAGTGGGTGCCCTTCCACAACTGGACCTGGGCCCCTGGACCACCTCCAGGGGTTGAGCCCCTGGCACACAGCTCCTGAGGGCTGCAGAGACCCACCCTCTTCCGGCCCTTGGTATCCCCTGTAGGTGACAGCTGGCTGCAGGCAGGGATGAGAGTCCACAGAAAGAGGCTGGGTATCCCTGGGCCAGACTGGGTATCCCAGCAGGAGCCACCAGACCTCAGGGGAGGTAGAGTGCCACCACCACATAGATGACCCAGCTGGTGGACACGAAGACCCCGAAGAGCAGGCTGAAGAGCACAAGCGAGCGAGCCTTCCGTGAGGCCTCCTCAGCCTGGGCCAGATCACCCCTGCTGAGGGCTGCACGGGTCTGCAACGAGACAGGGGAGGGAGACGTATAAGTGGACTGGGGTCCCACTCCCTTCAGTGTGACACCATCCAGGCCCAGTCCCCACCTTTAGGAGGGCAGGGGATTATAAGTCCCATTTTACAGATGAGAAAAACAACACCCTGAGAAGTTCAGGGACCTGTCTAGATCTCACAGCTAGTGAGTGGTAAGGTGAAGGGGAGGAGGAGTGATACAGGTGGTAGCTGCCAGTTCCCGGACACTTGGTGTGTGCTGACACTGCTTTACACCCTCCATCTCATCTAACATCTGCACAATTATCCTGAGGATGGGATCTCTGTTGCCCCCACTTTGCAGATTAGGAAACAAAGGCTCAGGGAGATTATAAATGACCCATCCAGGGCCACACAGCTAGTGGTGGAGCCTCAATTCACAAACAGGCAATGTGCCTACATAGTCTCGTTCTTGAGCACTGAACTGTCCTGAAAGCTGCCTTCTCCCCACAGTCCTGTTCTTATGACCAGGGAACTTCACCAGCAGAGGGAAGTCAGGGCTGTGGCCTCCCTGACCAGTTTGGCCTTCAGCAAAGGCCCCCAGAGACTTGCTTGCTTCTCTATATATTACAATGGTATCACTGAATCCCCACGGCCTGGCATAAGGTCAATAACAGAAGGAAAGGAAGATGGATGGATGGGTGGATGAAGACAAGAGAGCTGGTGGGTAGATGGGTGGATGGGTGGAAAATAAATAGATAAGGATGAGTGGATAGATAAGTAGGTAGAGGGATGGGAGCATGGATGGATAAGTGTGTGGGTGAGTAAATGGTAGGTAGACAGATACATGACAGTGGGTGATTGAATGAATAGGTAGATAGATGAGCAGAGGAATGGATGGATGGATAAATGGGTGAGTGGGTAAGGAGACAGACAATGCTATGTAAAAGGATATATGGAAGTAGATAGATGGAAGAAAAGATGAGTGGGCAGATGGATGGATGAGCAGAATTTTGTCCCATTAAAACACAAGCCTCTCACCTCAACAACAAAAAGACAAAAAATCCAATTTAAAAATGGGCAGAAGATATTAGAGAGATGCAAATCAAAACAACAATGAGGTACCATCTTGCTCCAGCACTAGTATCAAAGTTCAACAAGACAGAAAATAACAAATGCTGG